TGGCCACCCGATGGACTCTGTGTCTCACCCTGGTCCTCGTTTAAGCCCTCACCCCTTGTTCCTGTCTCCCTTCACGGACCTGGCCCACCATCCCTCCCCCTGATCCTCCACCATTCCACCTCCCTCCTGAACTCTTGTGTCATGTTTTTTAATGTTGTCGTGGAGCGTCTGGTAGCCGCTCCGTAGAGGGGGGGTTATGTCACAGTGTCTGGATGTGTTCCCTTGTTTGTCCACTAGATGTCCTCCTTCCCCACTGTGTCATTCACTTCTGGAACTGCATTTCCCATCATCCTGTTCTTTCACTTACTGATCATTGCACTCAGCTGTTCCCCGTAATCATTGTTCCCAGCTGTTCTGTGTTAGTCTTGTTAGAGATGTGTATATGAAGAGTTCAGATGCAAAAGCCTCTAAATGCCATTTGAAATTTTCTTCTAAAATGATCATTTTTATCAAGCTCATATATTTAAGTTCAGTAATTTCACTTAAATGACAATTAATAGGTAATCTTCATTGCCATTTAAGTGAAATTACTGAACTTAAATATATAAGCTTGATAAAAATGATCATTTTAGAAGAAAATTTCAAATGGCACTTAGAGGCTTTTGCATCTGAACTCTTCATATATACCCAGTCTTGTTCAGTGTGAGTCCTTGTATTTTGTGTCACACCACTTCTGGTCTGTGTTCAGTTCCTAGTTCCTGTTTGTTTATTTGTTTTGATGGCTTCTCTTGGTTTGACCCTGCATGTGTCACTACGAGTTTGGATTATCCTCTAAATAAATACTGCTTTTGGATTTACCCCTGTTTCCCGTGTGTGGATCGTGACAATTGTGGTCATATAGCGAATTTAAGTCATTGTTAGGAGAGCACATGGACTCCATAGTGACTCAGTCAGTCAGTCAGATTGAATTTGACAAAGAAATTTGGCATTCACCCAGAAAAAGTATGGTCGATTGAAGATTGTAAAAAAGTGCTAGGAGCAAGTATTCGCAAGAACAATGTGAAAGCCATTATCTGTTGTCACAAAGAATTCAGCTTATCCATTGCACAAGAACAAGCTATGTGTATTGCTAAGTTAAAGGAACAGAAAAAACAATTGCAGACTCAATTGTCCTGTTTCAAGACAAAGGTGGGCCATAACCAGGCCTCAACCAAATGTAACACTGAAGACCAACAGTCAGATTAAACTTATCCTGAATTGTACAAGCATTGTTTGAAACAGATGTAGACATCCAATCAGTAACTGATAAGTGTGTAAATTCAGTGAAGGTATGTGGAGCAAGACTAAAGACTCAGAGTAGGGTAAAAGATATTGACACTCTTCAATCTGTAGTTAAACACTCTCCATTCTGCAGTTACAAGCAGGCAATGCAAATTTAGGACCCAAAGACATTGATAGACTGTCCCAGAGCTTACCCCCAGCATGCACACAGTTCACTGAATTTAGAAGAGCATTGATCAGTAAAATGCATCTCTACGACATGTCGTTGGCAGAAATAACACAGTTAATGTGTCAAATTCTAACTGAATCTGAATTCAGTTCGAGTCTGCTGTTACTTCTGAACTGCAACATGCAATAAAAGATGAATTGAGAGAGGGAGTTCTGAGTGTGTTAAAGAAAATTGTTGGACCAAATGTGGACTGGTCAAAAATCTCTAGGTGTACGCAAAGGAAGGATGAAAGTGTGACCGAGTACACAGAAAGGTTCTGTCAGACAGCAGCTGCTCACAGTGGAATAGCGGACACTTCAGAGAAAGTGTTAAATGACAATGGTCCATTGGTTCGCACATGGTTTGATAATCTTTTGTAAAAACAAAGGAATGCGTTGCCTTTCTTAGAAATGACATGGCAAACTGGAACCTTGAAAAATAACCTGGACAGGTTAACTGCTTGGGAAAGAGACTCTGATGTTAAGGCAAGCGTAAACATTGCAGCAGCATCCTTTAAGGTCAGCACAGAAAACCCACAGAAACGTAAATGTCCTAAAGGCGGGCATACACTGTGCGATTTTCGTCCGAATTTGAGCCGAATTCTGACTCGTGCGACTCATTTTCGTGTCGGACCGATTTTCAGCTTTGTCGTGCGTCGTTTGTCGTGCAGTGTTCGTGCAGTGTACAGGGAGAAACGAGAGGCGAATAACCTCTCACGATCAACAATCGGATGGTCGGATGAATTTCTGGCATGTCAGAAATTTTGGTCGCTCCTCGTGACTATATCGCACAGTTGAAGCAAAGCTACGAACCGATTGCCCTAAACTCAGTGTTTTTTCCCTCACTGCACCTGCGCGAAAACAGAAGTTTAACCATTTCATCTGCAGCAAAAATAAAATTAAAATAAAAACGAGCTACAAATTACTGTTGCTTACCTCCAGTTCGTGTTGCAAAATGGATAATATTACCCACCGTCTTCAAGCCACCTGATATGCAACACCTCTTTTATTATTTTGTCAAACAATGTTTTTGAAATAAACCTGTTTTAATTTTCATTGATGATTAATAATGGCAATGTTCGGACATATTATAGACTGTTAATAGTTATTTTATATGTATATAATTCATTGTAATCGACCTAAATGTTTTAGACAATTTTAAATGAGGAGTAAGATTAATATTTTATTATCCTCACAGCACGTTGGTTATGTGCTGTGAAAATATTGCGTGGCAAATTAATTATAATAGCGGATCAATTTAATAGTAAAATTAGCCTATAGGCCTCCCCTAATAATGATAATATAATAATAATAATTAAATGCATAAATTGAAAATACTAAATCATCTTGATACTGATAGCAGATGCTTGTTTTGACAATATCTCTGGATACATACACGTAAATAGGCGCAATCCAGGGGGTTATCGCAGATATTACACGTATAGTGTGAGCAGTGAAGTCGCAGCTCGACGATCGGACCGTACAGTGTGAGCACATAAATCCTGAACTTTGGCTTTGCATCGCATGCGATTTACTCGTTCAGTGTGAGTAGATACCTTGCTGAAATCGCACAGACATCGCACAGTGTATGCCCGCCTTAAGAGAGAGGGCAGGTGTTATTACTGTGGTCAGCCAGGACACTGGAGCAGAGAGTGTAGAAAAAGCAGGAAGAACTTTAGAGAAGTCAACCTTTTTGGCCAACTTTTTCTCAGCCTTCTTGCTACTCTGAAGCAGTCATCTCCACGCCAGTAGACTGGGCCAGCTTTTGTTGAGGTGTTAACCATTTGGGCTGTGAGTGCTTAATTTCCCCAGAAACTTACAACAGAGATGAAAGACTTATGTTTGTTTACCAGAACAAAAGGAAAGTGACTGTCTCAGCTTTTCCTTTGGGGGACTGCTTTAAGTAAACTCACAGCCTTAAATGTTATTCTACAGCACAGGTCTTTCATCAGTAATGGTGTTAGGTCAGATTGTAAATGAATCAAGCAAAAGTCACCTCTGTAACCTCCTCCCGTTGGGGAAATTGGTTAGCCACTCTCACAGCCCCGAACATTGTTTTACAGCGTGCACCTGTCACAAACCCATTTTCAATGTATGATGTCTGCAATGACTGAAAGTTTGTTAGACGATGAAGGAGAAATGACTCACGATTGTGTTACGCTTACATACACACCTACAAGTGGAATAAAAGAAACTCCCTTATAGAATTCAGATTTAGAGTTGCTTGTTGACGGTTCAGCTCAAGTGATTGAAGGTAACAGACGAGCAGGTTATGCAATAACGTCCACCACTGAAGTGGTTGCTTCAGGTCGTCTTCCAGATCATTTTTCAGCTCAAGCTGCAGAAATAGTAGCCTTAACAAGAGCATGCACGCTAGCTTCAGGATCAGTTGCAAATATTTACACATTCCAGGTATGCTTTTGGGGTAATTCATGATTTTGGTGTCATTTGGTAAACCAGACAGTTTCTAACTTCTGCTGGATCCCCCATTAAGCATACTGGATTAGTGAAAGATCTAATGTTTGCCATGAAACTTCCAAAGAAATTAGCAGTGATCAAAGTGAAAGCACATCTCACAATTAATACTACAGAAGCTAAAGGTAATTCTCTTGCTGATGTAGCAGCTAAACAGGCTTGTTTCTATGCAACTGTGCAAGTATGTTCACGTAGTACAGCACAGAAAACAATTTTGCCTCCTGAATCAATGATTTTATTCCCAGATGGGGATTGCCAGATTGCATTGATTCAGATCAAGGTACACATTTCACAGGACAGGTAGTCAAGGAAGTAGCTAAAATGTTGCAGATTAAGTGGAACCTTCACTGCCCCTACAGGCCACAAGCATCAGGACAGGTTGAACGTGCAAACAAAACAATCAAAACCAGGCTAAGCAAGCAGTATTGTGTAGTATGAGAGCGTCACCTAACAGATCAATAGGACTGAGCCCTCATGAGATTATTACTGGAAGTCCAATGCAGATACCAGGTGTGATTGATCTTAGAAATGCTGATTTACACATTGCCTCAAATCCCCTGACTGTGAAAACCTCACAAAGGCAGTACAGAGTGCCAAAGAGAGAGTTGAGTCATGTTGGCAGACTCCACCAGAAGGTTTACACGCAATTATTCCAGGTCAATAGGTCATGATAAAGTCATTCAGAAACAAGCCATTAGAACCTAAGTAGCAAGGACCAATCAAGTAATGTTGATTACAGCAGCTGCAGTATTGTGTCAAGGAAGAAAAACCTGGACTCATGTATCACACTGTAAGGTTGTTCCGCCACCCACAGAGGTAGGATAATACACGAACCAGTGAGGAACCAAAGGGAAGAACCGGAATGCCATTTGCTCCGGGGGCCACCCCTTGGGCGAAGATTTTCCCTCATAGGCCTTCCCCATCCATTTAGTCAATCCTCACCTCACTGTGTTCTTTAGGTGTCTAAAATAAGAAACAGGGAAAGAAGGAATAACCATAGCAGAAAAACAATAGCAGACTCTGAAAAGTTTACAAACATAGTGTTTGAACCAATACTGCTCTCCTGTCTTTTGTTTTCCTTTTCTTCCTCTGTGCAGATACCACTTGATGGCTCTCCTGAGACCCATATACACCGACCCTTCACCTGCGTAGGAAGACAGAAACAATGAGACACACTGCCGGGCCAACTATCGCCAAAGTAAAGAAAAAAAAATACACAACGCAGAGAAAAGACTTACGGAACCTTCAGTCATCCATTTAAACATGATCAAGATTGTCATCCTACTAACCATCCTGGACATCACACAAAGTGTGGACGTCAGAAACAACATATTCCTAGAACTCATGAATATGTCAAGAAATGCCTTGTTTGCAGGAAAGAACGTGTGCATGCCACACGCACCTTCAGTAGGAGCAGGAATCCCATGGGTGGCACATCCTGTCTCCAAATGTGTCACGTGCACCTTATTCGATCGTCATACCAGTGGATTATACAACAAGGACACATGCCACAACATAACACTTCCTCCAGTTTCTTCATGTTCCATTCCAGGACTACCATACTGCAACCTAACTTCAGCTATTGCCATTACGACAGATGTACTTCTGCCAATGATGTTCTACTGGTGCATGGAAAATTATGCTCCAGCATCGACTCCACTGGGTAAAATTCCTCGTGAACTCTGCAGATTTGTGATTGAAAGAAGAAAAGAAGAATCCCATGTGTATGTTCTAACAACCGAGGAGAAACAGGAAAATGACTTAAAAAGTTGTCTCTACAGGAACCCATCCCTACCAATTTTTTTTTTTTTTTTTTTTTTTTTTGCAGTAAACCAGTTGTGTAGGATCCCTCCACCACCTGACACTTTTTGGTTATTTGGAACTTCTGTTTACAGCATCCTCCCCAGCCAGGTCAACGGAAGGTGCACGCTGGTTTATGTTCTACCAGCTATCAGAGAAAATACACACTCCACCTAAAGCTCCCCACAGCTACAGAATTCAGCTCCCACCACAAACCAAGAAGATGGTTGCATTCCTGGACTCACTTGTGCACAAACATGGTGGTCAAAAACTATTTGAGCATTAATACCATCTTATGGTGTCATGCAGCCCTTGGATCAGGTCAGAAGCTTATCGAATTCTGTACAAAAATTGCCCAATGATACAGCATTAGCCCTGGGTAACATCACAAACACTCTCGCTTCACACAAGATAATGATCTTACAGAACAGAGTGGCCTTGGATTACATTCTAGCATCCCAAGGAGGAGCCTGCACCATTATCGGCCCTGAGTGCTGCACCGGATTAATGGACCTCACAGAAAACTTGACCAAAATCCAACAAGACATTCTTGGTCTTTCAACTAAATTAAAGATGACTGAAGATGATTCGTCATGGTTCGGAAACTTGATTGGTAAACCGTGGATGTGGATGAAGGAAATAGCAATTCTGCTGTTGTTTCTCTTATTAGCGTACTATCTATGTGTCCACAGTATCAAGTGTCTCATCCAACAAATGAATCACACCTATCACAAGAAAATCACAGTTCCTACCAGAAAAGACTATTATCCGTAAGAACTTCACGGACCCTAATTGCATGTTTTATTTTTCTGTGTCAGCATGCAATTACAAAAAAAGCAAACACAGAACATGATCTTTTGTGCCTGTAACTAGCACAAGTTACAAGAATGAACTTCCTTAAGTGTTTAAATTTGTACATAATGTGAGACTTATTAATACTCTCAAAAGGGGGGAATGAAGGAATACATATTTATTAAATGTTTGATAAAGGTTTAACAGTATTATTAACTAAAAAATGTATACAGTATTTACCCTTTTGAGGCCAAGAAGATTAAGCCAAGCATTCCAGGTGTCACACATTAGCATTTGTCTTTATGCATGTTACGTTCCCGTATCGCGTGTGTGTTCTTGTGTTTTTTCTTTCCCGCTTTCTCTCTCTCTCGGTTACTTTCACTTTTGTAGGTACCCGTGATTGGCCAATTGACCTGTCAATCATCGTTGGCGCTGACGTCACCTCTTTTCGCCATCGCCAATAGGAACAGGCCACCTGGGGAATAAGAGTGCACGCCAGACGTCTCCACGGAAGCTCTCGGCTCGCTGAGACTCAAACCACGCTGCTCTCTGTCACTGTTGCGCTGCTCCTTTGTATACCCTGTTGAGGTTATGGTTCTCGTTCACTCGGTGTGATGTTAAGTTGTATGAGTGAACGCTCCCTGTTTTGACTCTCTGATTTTATGTGACCTGCTCTACAGAGCTCTGTAGGTTACTAGTATGGAGAAGAGATAGACAGATAGCATGTCACGTGACATACACTGCACCACGCAGGGGTTTTCGATTCTGTCTAGTATACTAGGGTAGGGGCGAGCGCCACACCTTGTATTTCTGCTTCTGTTAGTTAGTGGAGACTAGATAGGGCGTCCTGGACGCTGAAGATTATTATTTTCTTCTTTATTTTCTTAGTTAGGATTAGAGGTTATTTAACAGCTAGACTTCATTTGGTTTTGTTCTTTTCTTTTCTTTGGCGCCGTCCACGTCTATCTTTTCTTCTTATTAACTTTATCCACCTTACAGAAATTCTGTATAACATGTCCATTTTTATATTTATGTTAATCTATATTCGTATAGATTAAATTCTCTTCACTTTTGCCACTGACCTTATTTGTTAAATAAAGGTTTTGGCTTTTTGCACAGTAAATCTGGTTGTAGAGTGTTTTTTGTACAACTCATGGTTTATGTAGGTTTCTCTATAATGTCATCTTTAAAATGTTGGACTCCCGAACCCCTGGACTAACTCGGGGGTCGTAACAATTGGGGGCTCGTCCGGGATGTTTAACACCCATCATAAGACATTGAGAGGAATATATATGAACTATGGTTGTATTAGTGGCAAAGTGATTTGATTGGACTTCGTATTTTCCAGGGTAGCCTGATGCGTGGTATTTTGTTTTCTGTATGGTTCGTAACATTAGTAGTGATGGCTTTGTTTGATTTGCAGTCGTTTGTTGAGCATCCTTCCTTAGAGCAGTTTGATCAGTGTCGAAAGGATGATTTACTGAAGATTGCGGACCACTATAAAATTGTTGTAGTGAGGCAAGCTTTAAAGAAAGATATTAAGAATGCTATATTTGAACGGTTGGTGGAGATCAACATTTTTTCGAGACCTGGTGTAAATCTTCGACAGACCAGGCCACTTGGTGCTGGCATGCGGGTTTCTAGTGAGGGGGTGTCGGACGAAGAGCAGAGCGAGACAGGTGCCGAGGTTGATGTCGGGGCGGAGACTAAGGCCGTCTTGCCGCCTTTTGATCCGTCCTCCCCTGCTTCTATTGGGTCTGGGAACGGACGTTTGAGAGTCCGCCTGGCTCGTTTACAGTACGAAGCACAGGAAAGGGCCCAGGCGCGTCAGGCTGAGATGGACCTGAAGCTCGAAATGCGCAGGCTCTAGGTAGAAGCTGAGAAGGAGGTGAAGCTGCGACAGCTGGAGCTGGAGGCACTGAAGGTGGCCTCTGGGTCGGCTGAGCGGGCACCCCGTGTTGAGGCTTGTGTGGCGGTATCCCCGGGCGATCATTCTCCAGCCTTCGATGTTAGCAAACATATTGCTCTAGTGCCTCCATTTAGGGAAACGGAGGTGGATACGTATTTTAACGCATTTGAGCGTATCGCATCTTCCCTCCGTTGGCCTAAAGATGTGTGGTCCCTTTTGCTTCAGTGCAAATTAGTTGGTAAGGCTCAGGATGTTTGCTCAACATTATCGTTAGAGGAAAGCTTGCAATATGATACGGTGAAGTCTGCTATTCTCCGTGCATATGAGCTGGTTCCCGAAGCCTATAGGCAGCGATTTAGAAATCATCAGAAACTTGCCAGTCAGACTTTTGTAGAATTTGCTCGCGAAAAGGGGAATCTTTTTGATAAGTGGTGTAACGCGAGTAAAGTGACAGATTTTAATTCGTTACGAGAATTGCTTTTGTTGGAAGAATTTAAAAAGTGTTTGCCAGAACGAGTTGTGGTATACTTGAACGAACAAAAAGTAAATTCTTTGTCGCAAGCAGCTGTGCTGGCAGATGAATTCGTGCTTACGCACAAAACGGTGTTCAGTTCAGCTCGTCCTGAGAAAAATTCTTCGGTTCAGTCTACTCATCCTCAGCCGTCTCGTGCGAAATCTCCTTCCCCACGTCTTAAAGAGGTAAGGGAATGTTTTTACTGTCACAAGCAGGGGCATGTAATTGCAGATTGTTTAACGCTGAAGCGTAAGCAGCAGCAGCAACAACCGTCTAAAAGTGTGGGGTTTGTTAATTCTGTGATGGAGAATACTGATGATATTGCTGGGTTGAGCTGTGTTGATTCGGGTTATAGTCCGTTTGTGCTTAAGGGGTTAATTTCATTGACTGGTAAACCTGAAGATCAACGTGAGATTCAGATGTTGCGTGACACTGGTGCCGCACACTCATTTATGGTAGAAGATACTTTGCCTTTGTCTGAACAGTCATTTTGTGGCTCGAGTATTTTAGTTCAGGGAATCGAAATGGGTTTCGTAAAAGCACCGTTACATCGCGTTCATTTAAAAAGTGACCTTGTAACCGGTTTTGTGTCTGTTGGAGTACGTCCTTCACTGCCCATAAAAGGTGTTTCTTTTATTCTGGGTAATGATTTGGCCGGGGGTAAAGTGATGCCTGTGTTGGAAGTTATGGATCAGCCGAACTTTGTTTCCTGTGATGAGTTATCAGTGAGCTATCCTGATACCTTTCCTGCGTGCGTTTTGACGCGCGCTCAGGCAAAGAGAGTGCATGATGTCGTTGACTTATCCGAATCGTTTATGGTTCCCGTATCTGCTGAAAATGTGTTACCGTCGGAAAATACAAGTTTTTCAAGGGGACACCTTAACGCGGACATTTTGAGGTTAGACAATAGTACTTTGAGTGTGCCTATGTCCCGTGAACGGATTATTGTTGCACAGAAGGAGGATGAATCTTTAGCCAAATGTTTTGCCTCTGTAATCTCTCCAGACCAGATCCGTCAGGAGAAGGTAATCTATTTTGTGGAAGATAATTTGTTGATGCGTAAATGGTGTCCAAATTCCGAAAATGAAAGTGAATGGAATGTAGTGTGTCAGATTGTCATTCCATCCTGTTATCGTC